TTCCGCTCTGTGAAAGCTTAGAAATGCCCCTTTTCTATAGGGAACAGATCTAAGCCTCAGAGCAGCTAGGGAATCTTGTCCTGTTTTTGTGGCATTTTGCAAGCCTGAAATTATTTTTAGACAAAGGAACCCAATTTCTCCTTGTTATCTGTTAGTTCTGACAACCCCACGTGGGGTTGACTGGAGGCATCGAGACGTGGTGACTGGGTCTCCTGGGCCTTGGTGAGGACTTGTTCTGGAGGTGAGAACAGCTCCTCACACGGCCTGTGGAGGCCCAAAGGACAAGCTGCCCCCCTGCCCCCCGCTGGTCAGGTCTGAGACGTGGGAAACGACCCGCCGGCTGAGAGCATCTGTTTCCCATCAGCCGCATGGCAAGAAGCAGGAGCTGCCCGTCCTGGTTCAGGCCCAGGAAGCTCAGTAACAGGAAGGACTCCATGTTCTTTAGAAAAAGTTTTTATTGTTGCAACTAAAATGCAAACCCATCATTTTATATGGCAAGTTGGAAAACTGTACAGTTTGACCGTTCTGTGGTCGCAGAAGACCCTGAGACGCACCCCCCTCCCCACCCACCCTCCCGGCCCCGTCATGCACCCACGTATACAGACACCTGAAAAGGCATTATACCAAACACCTCGCTTTTTTTTTTGTCTGTTTTTATTTTTGTAAAAATGGTTTATTCCATGGCCATTGTAAAAAAGAATGACCCGGTGAGTAAATGTTGGCTTAAGGCATATAGCAGAGTAGCTTGCTACTTCTCTAACGTACATGTGACGAGATGGAGAACCGCCCGTTTCCGAGGACAGGAGGCTAGACCAGCACACCCACTGTGAAGTGCTACTATCTACACCCGACTACCACAGACACACACAGGATTTCGGGAACAAACAAGCCCAACTCAGACACGCTTGCGGCCTGGCACCTCGGCCTCCTCCAAACCTCACCAAGGCTCTGCGGGCGAGCCTTGTTCCCACCACAGAAGTTCTCTGCACGGGCTTCTAACACGTGAAAGGCAAAAATGTGAAAATGCTGGCCGAAGAGCAGCTTGTGAGCATACAGCTGCCTTTTTGTTTCTTGTTAAAAAAGCCACTTAGTGTGGAGGTCTGAGTTACCCCTCGCGGGAAGAGTTGTGAGCACCATCAGGCCCCAGGGTCAAGGGTGGGGCGGGCACGCCTCTTGGCAAGGCCCTAGACCCAGAGTGCAGCGGGGTGAGTTCAGGGGCTGCATCCGGGTCATTGCGAGAGGTGTGGTTCCCGTCACGGTCTGCTCAAGAGGTGTGAGCCTGGGACCGTGGAGGCTGATCCCGAGGGTGTGTGGGGGGACCCTGCCCGCCTAAGTGTCCAGAGTGGGAGGTGTGACAACGGCTTCTGAGTTACGGGGAACCCAGCTGGACAGGGACAGGCCGGGCTTCAGAGTGTGCTGCCAGGTACTAGGCCGCCATCAGGCACCGGGTGACGTCACCGGTGTAGCGACGACCTCAGCAACAGTCTCGGCACCACAGCCATGTAGTCAGGTCATGCAAAGGGACACTGGGCTTGTACACGGGCACGCGAGTCAGCAGAGACCTAAGTACATCAAGCACGCGGTACCTGACGGGACACGAGACCGCACATGCATCCTACTACACAGAGGGGCAGCGGTGACGGAGCGCGGGCGGGCGCTAGCGGGTACAGGGAGGGACTAACCGGGACAAGGAATCTCACGTCACGTGTCTTAAATATCCAAGTGGTCACTATATATTACCCCATGTCTATAAACATACGCCAAGCCTCTCCTCCTTACCCACAACATCACGCAGCGACGACTGCTGCCACCGTCTCCTCCCCAGCACTGGTCTGAGGCAGCAGGCTTGCGGCAGAGTCTTGCTTTCCCTGCACTACCTGAGGGTTTGTTATTGTACTTTTTGATAAAGCCTTTGATGCAAGGCTGACATCAAAAAATTTTAATACGTTATTGGTTTAAGAAAATGCTAGTGCACTATGGACACCTTTGGGGGGGTGTTTAAAAAAAAAAGAAATGGAGAGGTTCCTTCCCCCCGCCCCCCTTGGAGGAGGGCGATGCAGACACCGGGAGGCAGCCAGGGGCGCACCCCGCCCCGCCACTCGCTCAGGCCACGTTTCCTCTGGGTCAGCCGACTCTCCTTTGCTCTCTCTCAAAAGACGCGGTGCGGATCTGGGGCTCGAGGGAAGGGGAGGGCGACGGGCAGACAGCCTCGCGGCCCTGGGCCCTGCCCGCCACCGGTGCTGGCTGCTGGGCCGGGCTCTGCCAGCCGGCGACGGAGGGGCAGAGCAGGGTCTGGTTATGCGCTGCTGTTCGACAGGAACCGGGATGACGCCAAAGATCTTCAGATGACCCAGACCCCTGCCCAGAGCTGCAGACTCGTGCGCCGCAGGCCCTGGGCCCTCATGGCCTCTCCAGTCTCCATGAAGTATGTTTTGTTCTGCTTGCTGTTGACAACAGCCTCTCCCATCCCAAAAGTCAGCTCTCAGGAAAAAAAAAAAAGCCTGCACGTTGCCGATGCCCTCAGAGACAGCTGCTTGGGAGAGGTTAGACACAGAAGGACAAAGGCCCTGCCTCGCGGGGTGATCTCCACAGCTAGAATTTCGAGACTATTCCCCTTCTCACTCAAGCAACAACACCTGTCTACCACGTGGGCTACCGTGACGGCACGCCTTCCCTGTGCCCTCGGGCGCCGAGGCAGGGGCTGGCGGGACCCCGTCCGGGGGAGGGCGGAGAGGGCAGGACTGAGCAGGGCGGCTGGAGTGAGGAGGGGCGGCTGGCACAGCGGACGATGGAAAGCAGCGAGGACACCTGAGCGCACAGAAGCCGGCTTCTCTTCCCAAGATGGAATTTTGCTGCTGTTCTCCTCCAGACGGGCGCACGGGCAGGCCCAGTCCAGCTCCGGGCGCACTGCGCCGAGCAGCACCTGAACCCCACACCCTCTTCTCCGAAGGCATTTACATTCGCAAAAGCGTGGGCGTCCTTCCCTGGGAAACCAGTATAAATCGTGTGACTGATTACACCACCAAGGGGTACAAGAAAGTCTCAAAAGCGCCTAGTCTTTTTTTTTAACCCCCCCCAGAAATAACAAAAAGCTGCTTTTTTATAAAGGTTAAAAACAACAATGTGTTGTAATTCTTTTTTTTCATCAAAAACGAATGAACCAAAAAAAAAAAAGAGAGAGAGAGAGACGTATTTGGCATTTTCTCTACTTACTCCTGAATAGGTTAAGGCCCTGAGATTAGTCTCTTAAATTCTTGGGACCACAGGGCTCCTTAAAACCCCAGTGCATCAATCTTCAATGCTCTCGTTAGCCCTTCACAGTTCCAGACTTCAAACCTTTGAGCTGTTTCTTCCGAGACTGGCTCAGATCCTCCACAGCGCGGACCTGGCATGCCGAGCCGGCCAGCGCCCTCCGCACCCGCCGTCCGCAGCCCCGCGTCAGTGGAAACACACCCGGTAGCAGAGGTACGCGCCGGCCGTGAGGGCGGTGGCCATGCACATGTTGACCAGGAAGGGCTTCCAGTGAGTCGGCGCCTGGTCCTGCTCCTCCTGGGGTGGCGATGGCTCCCCCTGGGCAGCACCACCCCCCACGACCCGCCGTCTGACTTCAGTGTCTTGACTCGTGCTAAGGGAGGAGAGGGCAGGGGTGGGTTACTCACTCCGGGGAAGGGAGGCAAGGGTGTGATGAATTCCAGGGAACCGGGCAAGCATGGAAATAGGGCCACCGCCTGAAGCCTGCTGGTCACAAGCTCCTGGCCTGGACCCAGGCGGCCCCCTCCCTCCCCTGGTCAAGGTAGTTTCTGGAGTCTGCGCACTCCATGGTGGGTGAGAGGGGTACGGGCCTGCGGAGGGCGCAAATACTGTGCCCTGGGGTCTGCTGTAGAATGTTCCCCTGCAGCTCAGGGAAGCAACAGGGTGGCCACATGTGCTACATGAGACAGACATGTTCCCTCCACCTGCCCAGCCCAAGAGCCGTCAGGAGGACCATTTCCAGGCACCCTGCCACTGTCATCCTAGTGGCATGCGGAGCCCCTGAGGGAGCGACACACGCCGTTCTTGCTCCAGGGCTGTCCAGGAGAGGCCAGCAGCGCCTAGTGGGCCTGAGCGGACAGGCCCTGCCTCTCCCTCCTTTCCCCTCTGCCCTTCTCCCCTTGCTCCATCAGGGAGACCCGGGCCCAGGATGTCCTGCCTCCCAGGGAACCTCCATGGCCCTCCAACCCCAGCAGCACTTTATGTGAACAGCAGGGCCAACCCCAGCCCTAGGGGCCTGAAGGAGGCTATTGTCACCACCAGGTGAATGCCAAGCATGGTGGCATGGAACCCCTGATTCCAATGAGCACCACAAGATGGCGCTAGAACCCCACTGAAGCCAGCCACCTCCCCAGCTAACCTGGGCTCAACCAGGGTCCCTCCACCGAGGTCAGGAGCCCTGGCCCCGGAGCCCCGAAGAACAGAGAGCTGGTGCTGCTCACAAAGAGTCTGTGGCCACAGAGTTTCAACACCAACATGCTCTGGGACAGAAGGCTGTTCCCCTTACCCCCAGAAGCCAGGGGCCCTCTACACACCTTTCTACGACGCAGGGGACATTTAAGGGGGTTCTGATTTCTTCCTTGATGGGGCCATCCACTTTATCCTCGGTCTCCTCCTTCACCCACTGGTGGTTTGGAAAGAATTCCTTGCATTTCCCATTGTGTGGCTCCAGGATTCGTTTGGGGGGCCGGGGAGGTGGGGGCGCATGCTCGGGTGGGGGCTCCAGGTCCTCGTGGGAGAGCTCCTTCCACTGCTCCTAGAAAAGGCAGCAAGACAAAGTCCTGTCAGTTCATGTTAGCTCACAGTCAGGAACCCGCTGCCTCTACAAGGCGAGTGTGTGCTCCTTGCCTCCTGGGCGCCCAAAAGGTACTGGGAACAGGCCCAGGAGATCTTTGGAAACAAGGCCTTGTCCCCTCTCCATGTTCAAGCACCATGTGACCCCTTCAAAGGCAGAAACTGGAGCACGGTGAACAGTCCACAGCTTCCTAGACGCGTGAACCGCTGGGTAGATGCTTCCTCCGACGGAGCTCTCAACACACACATTTGCCCTCACTGCCCCTGATTACAGCACAAGCAATGCCGACCTGCACCGAAGCGTCTCCCATGATGAATTTGGCACCTTCAATCACAGCCAGGTAGGAGAAGCGGAGCTGGTCTGCCGTCTGGATCAGCCCCATGCGGAATTTCCTCATTTCTAACAGGACCTTCTTGATATCCACCGAAGAAGGGTCTTTTCTTTTGTCCATCTAAAGCCAGAGAGGAGGTACAATTCAGCCAGCTTCAACCCTCAAGTGCAATGTGACTTTCTGGAAGGCAGAATTCTCAAAATGTGAGAAAATGAGCAAAGTCGGGACTATCTGTGCTCAGAGGAAAAGAATGAGAGAGAAGGAGCTTCTGATTAAGCGCACCCTGAAGCCAAACACCGCCCACCCTCACAGAGGCAACTGCTCAGAAGCCAGACTGAAGGTGACGAGGAACACAGACGCCTGCCAGGCAGAGGGCACGTGCCCGCCCCCGGGTGTCTCCATGCCGCTTACCAGCAAAAGGCAGGTGTCAGCCAGACAGAAGGTGCCCGACCTGCCGATGCCGGCGCTGCAGTGCACCACGATGGGGCCGTGCTCCAGGCTGAGTGAGCCCGACTCTCGGACTTTGAAAAGGAAGTTCAGGAATGAGGCTGGTGATTCGGGGACTCCAAAGTCAGGCCACGTGGTATAGTGGAAGTGTAAGATCTCGCGAGTTTCTCGAGACTGAAAGAGAGAAAGAGTCACCATGGCCCTAAGAGCCGCTGTGCAGAAGGCAGCAACGGCAAGCAGGCACAGGGCGCCCCCACCCCACCAAGGGCAGCTTTAAGCTCCCGGATGTTCTCCCAGGATCCTTGCTTCAGTCACCAAACACGAGTCTCAAGCTCAGGTCCTGTTTCCTGCCTCAAGTTGAGACTCCCTGTAGGATGGAGTCTCAGCACCTGGGAGAGCACCTGTGATCGCACCCCCTGAGGGCGCAGGGTAAAAGGGCACCGGTCACCAGCCAGGCAGACCTGCAGCCTCACTGAAGTGGGCACCGCACGCAGTCGTGCAGACTGGAACCAGGCCGGCCTCGAGGGCCTCTGCCACGTCGGTGCCAAAGAGCAGCTGACAAAGCAGCTCGGGTTGCAGACCCGCTGACCAACAGGGTCTTCCTCCTCCTCCGTCTGGCAAACATCCACAAGTGCCCACCACGCACCAGCCACTGCGCAGGCACAATGAGTTTCAAAGACACCGCCTGGCCCTCCCAGGACCACAGCGTCATTAGTGCTAATACCCATGTCTGACCCTCGTATGATAAGGTGAGTCAAGGGTCTCCAGTGGACACCAGTAGGGATGGTGCAGACGCAGCCCGAACCTTCCTGCGAAGCGGGGACACCTGCAGATGACTTTAGGGTGACTTAGAGGGTCATGCCAAGCCATTCTATTCTTTCCACTCTAGAAAATGACCCCCTTAGACTTCAATGGCTTCAAGGGGAAAAAAATATCTCTCCTGTTTGGGAGGAAAGAGCTTAAAAATGTATTCAAGAAATTGAATTAAGAAAGCACACCCAAAGTGAGGTCTTCTAATCCCTACAGAGTATCATCATACTCCTCACACCTGCCTGCCTCGTTCTCCAGGAACTCACTTCAGACCTGGGCTTGCACGGACGCCTGGGACAACGTTCTGGAGAGTCTGCCAGAGCAGCAGATCTGCTGCCAGCCTGCGGCCCCAGCTCCACCTGCTGCTCACACAGCCCGCTCTGCTCTGAACATCTCCCTCACTAGGCAGGAGAAATTTTCTCTGAAGTTTACCAGAAGTCACTTTTAATGTCAGGCTTACCGATGATGGAAAGCATTAACGTCTGCTCCATCAGACTCCAGCACATTCCAATATGCTGCCAGCATTATTCCTGAATGTCTCCCATCACATTCGCCCTGTGTGCAGCTGAGCTGGGCCCAGGTTCAGGGCCTCACACAGACAGAGCACTCAGCCCAATAGCCTGGCAGGCGAACCCTCCTCCCACGTCACAGAAACCTGTGCTGAGCTCTGGTTCTGACGTCAGCTGGCTGTTCAGTAGCAGGAACGGTGTGACGACCGTGCAGTGGATTCAAAAGTACGATGCAAATGTACAGATCTGCCCTGTCCCCACAGTCCCACAAGCCCCAACCCAAGGCCGCCTCTACCCACACTGCCCTTCGGGGGATGCCCGAACACGGCCTTGCTGCTCCAACCCACAGCACCTGCTAGCCCTTCACACGTCCTACTGAGCCCAGGCATGCTCCCTTACGGTCCAGGGGGCGGCTGAGACAGGAAGCGCTCTATCTGACAGCTTGCGAGGGTGGGCAAGAGGCACCACCCAGGCTCCAGAGGGAGCAGCTGATCACTGGTGAAGGGCGCCCTCAGGCGCCACCCAGGCCCATCCCCAGTGCTAGCACAGGCTCCTCAGTCCAACAGAGCCCACGGGCAGGGCCGTCTGAGATGCTGCTTTGCCAGGTTTTAAGATCATCTTTTAATGATAGTCGGGAGCTGGGGTTACAAATGTTTCCACAACAAATAAACCCAAGAGCTCTTAACTTTTAACTCTTGCTGTGAAACTAGAGGCCAGCCCTTCCTCCCCTGCTCAGGCTAAAGAAAGTGAGGAAGTAGGAGAAGATGCAGCCTGGCGGGGCTCGCAGTGCAGGCCACCCGTGAGGCCCCTGGATGCCGGCCAGCCGCGGCAGGTCTGCGAAGAGCTGCTGCTGACCCAGGCAAGAGAGGCGGGGGCTCAGGGGAGAAGGTGGCAACTGAGACTCTCCCCACCCGCAGCCTGGCCAGCAGGCAAGCTCTGCCCAACCACAGTGCCAGCTGTACAACGCTCAAGGTATGGAAACCCAGAAGAATGGGCATCAGGGAAATGCCCCAAAGGCGCTCCACCTCGGGCAGGGAGCGCGCCGGGCCATACTCACCGTCAGGTTTTCCAATTCTAGCTGTCGCACTGTGTAGTATGACTTTATGTCTTCTGAGATCAAAGTTAACTTCAAATTTGTGTCTTCAAAGATCATTTCTTTTTCTTCTCTTTGTGGCCAGTACTGGGCACATTTTAACTAGGGGAGAACAGAACACAGAATTACAACGAGGAAATCACAGGTCTGCGATACCTCCTCGGGCTCAGTGACAACCTGAGGGCCCAGAGGAGTTAGGACCAGAGAGCCCAGGCTTCTCGGCCACGTGGGTGTCCCCTGCCTGCCACGGGAATGAGGGCAGGCGGCACGGGAAGCGCAGCCTCTCACCAACTGCTTCACGGAGCCGTTTCAAAGGTTGTCAGGCCGACTTTGCTCCCAGCGCGGTTTGCTCCCCACGCCCGGGGAGGACGGGCCGGCTGACAAGACGGGAGAAGCTGCGTGGGAGCCGCCACGGAGCGCACGCCAACACCGGCGCTGGGGCAGAGAGGGCTCCTCCGGGGCCTGGCACCTGCTGGCCCAGTCCACCCTGGCCTACTGGGTTGGTAAGACTCAGACCACACCTTTTTTTGATGCGCTAGTGCAACAATTTCAGAAACTGCTGCTGGTCTTGTTTAAGTGTAGCTCACGAAAGCAGCCAGCTTCCAGGGACTTGGCTTCATTTAGAACTCAAGAAGAAAATTCCACTTGAATTCTGCAGCATATTTTGCCAGAGTGAAGCTTCAGTGCCAGTTACTGTTTGTTGCTGGCTGTTCTGGACAAAACCAGCAGGTAGAAGATGTCCAGCTGCAAGGTCTGCGAGCCAGAGGACTGGCAGTATGTGGAGCAGAGTGAACCTCTACCTCAACACCATCTCCACCTCCATCAAGTGAAATATCAAGTGTGCGTAAACAGCCCTTTGGCAAGTGCCACACATTCGAGACACCTGCAATTTAACATGCGCCGGACTCGCTCACACCTCCCGGAGCAGAGGAGGAGCTCGGGAACTGCCACAGGCTGCTGTCCCGAGGGAGAACCTGCTCATGGCCCACGTGCAAGGTGACCTGGGTAAGGTGCCGGAGGCGAGGCTGTGGAGGTGCCACGGGGACGTGTGAGAGGTAAATGCTTCAGGTGGGGTTATGAGAAAGGAGATCAGAGAAGGTTCGACGGGAGAAGCGGCCTCTGGCAGAGGCGGCCTTTGAAGGGCGACTCCTTCCCTGGCAGTGCGACTGCAAGCAGCGTCAGAGAAGCAACGCCAGCGGGGCCAGCGACACTGGCAGCAGCCCCGGAACCTGCAGCAGACTGGGGCTGAGGAGCCAGGAGGCCCACCCAGAAGCCGCCTGCTGCCCCCAGACGAGAGCAAAGGGAGAAAAATTCAGGAAGCACCAGAATGTGAGGCCAAGCCAGAGTCGAACCTCACGCTCCCCAAACAGAAGGTCTTCCCAAAGAGCCTGGACACGGGCTTGTTTGGAAGTCTCGGCCACTTTCGCCCAGGGCAGCACGCTACATCGATAACGAGCTGTCAACTCCTGCAAGGCAGCTGAGCGGCTGAAGGAAGCAATTCTGCTGCTCGGACAGTGGGTCAAAGGCAAGACCCTGTGCTTGGCCAGAGGCTGGGGCAGCCAGAAGCAAGACTTCAGAGACCTGCGGGGAAGGAATTTCCACATTTCAAATGATGAGACCGAAGTAAAGCCTCAAGACCCCAGGGGCAGAGAGAGACTGCCCTGGTAACTTCAAGACCACACGTGCGGGCGTGGGCATCCCAGACTGCAAGCAGACAAGGCGGGCACAGGGCAGCATGGCAAAAAGGCCAGGCTTTCCAGGTCTCGAGAGCAGAGGGCACAGCGAGGCTCGGCAGCCTCAGCCCACACGGCCAGTGCCACTTGCAAAACTGCACAGAGCGCCAAATAAACCTGCCACCAGGTAGAGACCCAAATCTTTGTACTCAACAACGGAGGATTCTAGCTCGCACTCTGTGTCAATGAACCATTTTTAAAGACTTTCAGCATCTACCATAAAAGGCCATGCCCTACTCTCTGTCATTTCCCATAGAAACTTGTTTCAAACACACAAAATAAAATAAGCACAAGAGCACTACTTCCTGTTATCCTAGTGAGTTGACGTACACTAGCCTGGGAAGGAGGCTACTTTACTAGGAGGTTTACTTTATCAGGACGAGTCCTCCACCAGGACCCAAGCTAAAGAATGTCTCCCAGGCCGCCACCAAACAGCAACAGGCCATGCCCAGCGCTGGTGCCTGTCGCCTGTTGCTGTCACCGTTAACACCTTGAAGGGGGATGCCAGAGTCCTGGGGCTTCTAGAACCAAGGGTGAGGCAGCCACATGGAAGCTCTGTGAAGTCACCTCAGCGATGCTCTGGTTTCCCAAAAGAGGAGCAGAGAGAACTCATTCAGTAGACTGAAGCAGAGCAGGCCTCAGGTCTCTAGGCTACAAAGCCCGGTGCACAGAAGCACCTGAAATCAAAGGCATCTTAATAAAGGCACCAGGAGAGACACAGTAGTGACTTCTCCAGGCTAAATTATCATGAGCCTCACACACAGACACATTCACATGTCTTAACACCATTTTGAAATCCAAGTCACAGAACTCTGGCCATCTGGATGACCCTACTAGAAAGCACAAAATCATTTTCTGCACAACTGTTTTTCCAGAAAGCAAGGGACCCCAATGGTAACAGGTGGGTTTGCCAAAAACGAGAAGGGTACATGCTAAACTAGCTGGTGAGGAAAGGAAAGTGAAAACAAATGTGCAATCACTCTGCAAGTCAGTTTCTTCCAGGGGCTGCGTGGGTAGCTGATAATGAGCTGAGCAAATACGCTTCTTCTCCTTTTCCCAGTCTACCCTTATGGGAGCGGTAATGCTGACACCAAAATGCTGGTCCCCAGGAAACTGAACCAATCCATGTGCACCTGACTGGCACATGCCAGGGGCCCTGCGGGAAGAAGAGTCTTAAAGGCAAACTGGGGCTGCCGTCTGAAACCACAGCAAGGCCACTCGCTCCACCTGCTCCCGGCGGCAGCAGGGCCACTCAGGGGTAGGCTCACCGGGGGTTATGGTCCTGTCACGGTCAGCCTCAGGGGGGGCCCACCGGGGGCAGGAGAGCAGGATGCCGCTCAACCTCACAACACACGGGACCGCCCAGGACAGTCCAGGATCGTCCAAGACTGCATAGGACAGCCCAGGACTCTCCAGGACCACCCAGGGCCGTCCAGGGCTGCCCAGGACCGTCCAGGGCCGCCCAGGACCGTCCAGGACTGCCCGGCACAAACCAGCCTGGAGCCAGAGTGCTGAGTCACGTTTCACTCTCCCTGGGGAGTGTGCTGTGGGAAACCAATGATTCTCTTTCTTCAAAATTGCTGACAATAGTGGTGAGGGTGGGGGTTTGCTTTGTAATTGTGACTTCACATTTTACTAATCAAGCCACCGAAGCAGAAAGAAAAAGTTCAAAACCACTTTCACTGAAGAATTTTCTTCCTAAGAAGCACTATTTCACCAGTTGACACCCCGGTGAGCCCTGTACCGGTTAGCGAGGAGCAAATAAAGATGATCCTTTCAGCAAGGTCAGCAGAGGCGGCCACAAGCATGATCTGAAGGCCTTTCTGGAGTGGCTCTGTGGGGCAGAGGCTTTGCGGCGAATGCTTCCTTTGACTTGATGGTCCTTCCCTCACTGGTACTTAGAACGCTGACCTCAGGAACTGAGTGTGCTGCTTCAGAGGCGGCTTCTAAGGCAGGACGGCAGTGGGGAGACTCACCAGAGAGCAGGCCAGCACCCAGCGCTCTGCTCCTGGCCTCCAGCCCTCAGCTCGCCTTTTCCTGGGGCCCCGCCTGAGTCTGGAGAGCAGAGTGGGTGAGCGCCAGGGAGGCGGGCAGTAGTGGCACTAGCTCCTCTGCTGAATGCCACACCATGCCCACACACATTCGCGAGACTCCAGACAGATCTTGAGCACCAGCCTGAGGAGAACCACCCGAGGCTGCCCGGAAGTGGAGCCTCAGCCAGGAAGTCTGGCGAGAAACTGTAAACAACAAAAAGGTGGGGCTGACTGGAACTGGGAGCCAGAGATGGGACATGGGGTCCAGGCTAACTGGGGCCTGCCCAGGCATGGTTTGGGGAAGGAGTGGGAATCCCAAAAGCACGCTCGGTAGGGGTGTGGTGAGACTCGGTTCAGAAAGGTTCTGAATGAAGGTCTGAATGCGCGTGGAGAGCAGATGGAAGGGAGCAGGTCAAGAGGCTGGCAGGCGGCTAGAAAAGGAAGAGCTCTCCCTGGGGCGGAGGCTGAACAACCACAAGCCCCCAGCCCAGGTATTTCCCAGGGCTGTTCAGGGGTGGAGAACACCGAGGAAGCACAGCAGGAGGCCAGAATTAAGCACATAAGCCCACCACACCCCCACTGGAGAGGTGTGGCCAGGAGCTGGGCATCTACAGAGTTTACAGAGTAAACAAAAAGCATGGGGCGGCCCCACCTTCAGTCAACGCAGTCAGAAACCAGAGAGGGCACTGCCGGAAGACAGCTTCTCCAAACAAGGCCAGGCAGCACAGCCCCAAGGTGGAGGCCGCAGCCTGGGGGGCTGGTGAAAGGGAAGGAGAACACACACCACAGAGATCGGCTGTGGGGGCAGAGGCCAAGGTGACTTGATTGTTTTCCTCGTTTGTTTTCCTCTGATTTGTTTGCAGTAACTAAGTTATTTCTATACTGCTTCTTTAATTGTTTTAATTAAAAAGCACATAAAAGAAATATAAAAGCAATTCAAGGAAATACATGTAGACAGAAATGCCAGCTTTATGAGCGGTGACCAGGTCAGCAACACACACGGCAGAGAAGGCAGGACTTACCGATCCTTTCTCCATCACTCTGTTCAGCATGACCACGCCCCTGCTCTTCTGCTCCCACACCATCTCCCAAAAGTGACCGCAAGTATTGGGCAAGGGGCCCTGCAAACACACAGGCCACAAAGTGAATGTCACGCCCCTCCAGCGCACGGCACGAGCTCGCCTTTACAATGACAGTGATGACAGTAACCTCGGTCCTCACCAGCTTCAGCGGAGGCAGCCGAGGCTGGGACAGGGAGCTGCGCCCCTGCCTAGCAGGACCTACAGGTGGTGAAGGGTCATTTCTCAGGGTTGGTCCAGGGCTGACCAACAGAGGAGATAAAACAGAACTCTGCTTTCTGTGGGTTCTGGCTGGATGAGCTCCACCCTTAAGGATGGCTGGGATATGAGGCAAAACTACAGGTGCGGGGGAGGACATGGGGAGCACAACCCCCCCAACTGATGCCGCTGGAGGTTTGAACCCCAGTTGCAGTCACTTACCGTAGAAGTGACCTGGAACAAGTCACTGTCCCACACCTGTCCCCTGCCTGTCTCACCTGACTAACCACAGAAGCTACTGTCGAGGTCGTGAAAGTGTGATGTTTAGTATATAAAGGCTTTGCCATTGCACCTGGCAAACACAAGCTATCTTACTACTACTACCTGGCACAGGTGACCACTGTGCCACGCAAGAGAGGTGGACACGCACACGGTCAGTTGGATGGGCGCAGGGTCCAGCAACCCCGGGTCCTGGTGGGGTGTCCAGCCCACCCGGTGACCAGTGCAGAGGTTTACTGCATGCAGGGTAGGGATGCCTGGAGCACGTCCCTGGGAGGGACGCCATCGCTCACCTCCGCGGCAGACATGTCCCCTGCTCCAGCACTTCTAGAATGGGTTCCATTCTCACTCATTTTCATCCAAATTCTCCTTGGTCTTTAAATCTTTCCTCCTGAGTCTGTCCACATCTCCTGGACCACCTGAGAGCCCACACATACTCTGCCCAGCGCTTGCTATGGACGTGCTGCTGGGACGAGGGCAGGGGGTTACCGGGGTAGCCCTTCCCCTCAACTCACAGAAAACAGCTCCTGGGAGACAGGCAACAGGCTGGCCATGGAGGCGTGGCCACTGGGCCTTCCCCAGCTGCACTCTGCGGCGCAGTGGTGATGACCTGTCACCTCCCCTCGCCCAGTTTAGAAGGGGTCTGAGGTGAAATCATAGACCAAACTTAGTCCACGCTTTCCAGGGTGGTGGAAACAGGAACTCCTTATGCTCTACATCTCAGGCCTTAAAGAGTAAGACATGGATTTGTATTATTTGCTTAACGAACAACACTGCAAGTGAAAATCAGGTTTTGTGGCTTGAAAAGTATTTCAGTCTAAGGGGTAGGAAGTCAAGTTGCTTTGATTCTTTGTAAATTCTGGGGTAAAGGGAGACCATGTAAACAGCTGGACACATCTGGGACACCACCTCACAAAACAGACCGAAAGTCTGAGTGCCATGTATTGCTAGGGAGGGGACGATGGTGGTGTGCAAGTTTCTGTGGTGATTTCCTAAACATCCCACATGACTTCGTCACCCTGATTTTTGCTTTGGGCTCTTGACCCCACACTGAAGTTGAATGGCTGAAATCAGGAAGTTGAGAAACCTGACTTCTAGAAAGAGAAGTTCCCCCAGGAACTACTTTGCCTCAACTGTTCCCACTGGCTTGTCACCAGCAAGGATCTTCCTCCTCATCAAGCCCCTCAGCCCTTCAATTCCCCCATCTCCCTCCCCGGTGCCAAGAGCACCGTGGGCAAAGGGCCTGGGAAAGGCCTACGCCCCCGCCCCGGCCCCCACATTATCAGGAACTGACTCAGGGCGCCACAGGACTGAGCAGACAGGCTGATGCGCTTTGCCGACCTGGAGACACCCAGGCGACTGACGGAGCCGATCTTGGGGGTGGCGGGAGGAACTGGGACAGGGTGACGGGGGCAGTGAAAGAGGACCACAGTGGTCCTGACCCGGAGCCGGCCCCAAAGCAGCCTTTGCTCACAGAGCTTTTGCTTCAACATCATTTTAATCCCTGAATTATAATTTTACAATCAACCTATATCTCAGTTATATGTCACCTCGATAACTGATAGGAAATGAGGAATAAAAGTCACGATTAAAAAGACAGACTGTCGAGAACAACTTACTGGTAACAGGTAAGACTTGAGAAAGTGAAAAAGAAGCTCTCTTGCCCCCTCTCTGACATCCACGGCCTCTGGAGTCACACAGTGGTTTCATGGGAAAATCAATTACTAAACCACTTTTCAGGTTTGTTCCGTACAGATGCCAACGGGAACTTAAAGTGACTGTATGTGCTTGTTTATGGGCCAAAGAATGAGGCCCGCGCTGAGGAATTCTGAATGGCTGTCTGACAAGGTTCCAGCCTGTGCTCACCCTCTCAGGTTTCCAGGCACCTGAGGCTCTGAGGCCAGGACCTGAGGGAGGACACGGCCACTGGCCTCCTCCAGCCACAGCGCTGCTGCCTCTGTCCACAGGTCACGGGCACACCTGGGAGCTGTTCCTCTAAGCCCAGCAGTGTCACACTTCCCAGGAAAGATCAGTGTTACAGCCACACGGAATCGCTGAAAGAAGATTTTGTTCCTTCTGTGTTGCTTTCTGAGTTATTTAAAACCTGCCCTTCTAAAGGTTGCGGCCCATTTTATTTGAGGTGTGGTTAACAGCACTCAGAAACTCTTACGCTGACATTAAATAAAACAAAACCATTTTAAAAGAATTCAGACAATCCATTTACCTGAGTAAGAATGTAACTCCTTTGGGCTTCTTCCATCCTGATCAAACTAGCATTGATGTAGTCGTTATCTTCTTGATGTAGTTTAATTCGACTATGGTCAACTGAAAGGCAAACCAGACCTCAGAGGTTAATCCTGGAGGACCAAGTGTGTGAACAAGTGGGCGGCTCAGGCAGCTGAGGAGGGCGAATGGATGGCTTGAGGACGTTCACACCTACTGCGGTCCTTAATGTGGAAATGGAACCTTTCAGAAAGGTTTCTTGACATGTTTGAAAGAAACCCTAACAGCAGCAGAGATAAGCTGCACTGTAGCACCATCCCACCCTACATGAGAAATCTGCTCTCAAGGCAGATTAGCACCAACCATGTGTCAAGGAAACAATTCTGAGGCCTAATATATATTTTATAGAATAAAAAATATCATAACTTCGATCTTTAATAGGGAACCAAACCCACCCAAAACTCCCCCCCCCACAGGCTTATTTGGCATCATGATGTATATATAATATGCAGAATCTATGATCACACTTCAATGTAACCACCTAAAGGTCTGCAGAGAAATGGCACACACAGCAGGGTCAAAGTCCACCTTGAATTCTCTTATATGAGTTTAAGTAAGATAAACTGATTCTAAATCTTTCAAGTTCAGAACAATCAAAGACCTTTAAAAGGGATTTTAACTGGGAAAAATAAACTCTGAATCCAAACACTGAAAGTACCGTCAGTATAACTTTTAGAAATAACCTTCATTTGGAAATTGTGACCTGTCCAGGTCACAACAAAGCACACCCGCATTTTACTCCTTCCCACAACTCTCACATAAGCAACGGGTGCCAGGGGCCACCTTCCCTATACTGCCAGTGTTGCTAACAAGATCAAGTGCACATTTTTATTTCTGGCACAATGCAGGGAACAATGAACTCAGGTGGATGTCCATAAATAGTATATTCTCCCCCAGTCCAATGGGAAAGAGAAGTTGGGGGCGGGGACGTATAGGTGACTTGGGGATTTTTGTTCTAAGGATTGCAATCAGCTACTTTTGGAATAATGTTTCTCATTATGCAGATTTGAATTAAATTTAAATACTTAGGTAATATTTAGTGGGTCATGGAGATAAAAGATCTCAAAAACCCAGAAACTATGTTGAGTGGCCTTGGTGGGTGCCATGAGTGGGCTCAAACAGGCCTGGGTGAACTGGACCAACAGTCCACCCGCTGAGCACTGGACTTCCCGCCTGCCAAGTGGAAGACAACACGACTGCCCTGAATCACGCTCCCCACAGCCCCTACAACCTTAAAACCAAATTATTTTTTCTATTAAAGAGCAGCAGTAGAGACCAAAATATGAGGCCTGTGGTCGGGAGCAGAACGTTTGGAAACTGTTTCCCTGGAACAATAAAAGTGCTTTTCTTTCTATGTAAAGCTGGCTCATAAAGCCAATTACATGAGCTATGATAAAAAATATAGCAAAGTACAGCAAAAACTAGAGCCCCAGGTACCTCTCAGCGTTGTGAGAAAGATGTCGGGAGTGGCTGTTCTCTCAAGCCCAGAACGCTGGCCAGACCTAACGGCAGAATCACCAGAAGAAGCTGCTGCTCAGTTTTAATACAACAGCCACAGCCCAGAGGTGCTAAGTCAAAAGTATCAGGTGCTGGGGCCCCATCACATGTTGCCCGATGACCTAGAACTGCACCGCAGCTGTCCTGGCACGTGCCTTCGGTAACAACCGCCTCAGTCACTGCCAGCCTCTATGAGCAAGACACTGCACTAAGTGGCTTATGTGATTTATTTCCTCTCCTCAGAATCCCCCCAGATCAGTGTGCCTGCTCTTGTACTGAAGATCAGAGAAGAGAACAATGTGCCCAGAGCCATGCAGCTGCCAGGGGCAGGCTGAGACACACCCAGGCAAGGAGTCAGGAAGCACACAGAGCCAGCCTGCCTGCGCTCTGGGCTCATGTCGCTCTCCCACTGTGCTCCTGGGTGGCACACACGGCCACTCTGCTGAAGAACGCGCCGAAAGCCACCAGCCCCAGCTCTGGAAGTGCCCGAGTCTGAGCCGTGCTGCCTGTGGTGCACAGGAAACGCGACCATGCGAGCTGTTAGCAGTTGCAGCCTCCACTGACAGTGTCTAAGTCCCTGGAGGTGAGTCAAAAAGGCTTCTGTGACTGGAGGAGGCCGCAAGGCTCATGTCCCTTACTCAGCTCCAGGTTTTCTTGCTTTACACGAATTCTAACACGTTTAGTTATTTACTTTTGAGAGATCAGCAGATTTTGAGCCAATCGCTCAGAAGGCAGAAGGGCTGCCAGAGGCCATCAGGCACACTGAGAGCTTGCAGGAGAGAGCTAGAAGTGATGACCACGGTGGGGGTGGGGTGAGGCAGACTCAACAAGCAGAGCTGCCTTGAGTCTTCAGAGCACGGGGACACCACTCCTGCCCCTGGGGCCTGTGAGCCCAGTACGAGCCCAGGGCTACCGACACTGCTGCCGAGTCAGGAGCAAAGGGCAGAGATGCCTGCTCTCCTCTGCTTCAGCTGGCAGGAAAATGAGTCATCAGAAAAACAGTCAAGCCAAAGTCTTTGAACTCACTTCAACTTGACAGAAATCTCAGTCCCTCTACAGAGGTAGAAAATGAACCACTACTCTAAGCCACTAATGCCTTAGCTATAGGAAATAATCAAGTCACAAACCTCTATGGCTATCAATCTATCATCAAGCCCTGGGGCAACGGAGTTCGGATTGGCCGGCCTGGACCTATGAACCGCGAGATAGAAGCAGTAAGACAGTAATGGCGAGGTGAATACTTACAGGGACTGACATCTCTGTACCTGTTTCGGTTTTTGTTCTTAGGAAGTTTGGCCACTTTACATGGGAAGTCACTGGCTTCGTGTCGGATATCCTACAAGAAAAGGAGAAAGAGTTCTCTTTTGAAATCTCTGGCATCAGGAATTCCTCCAGACATTTAACTGCATATGGGCAACATGCCAGGCACTGAAGGAGACCCGGGCAGGATCTGACATCAAAGGGAGCCTGGCAATGTGGGAAATGCAAGGTGATAATTCAGAGGCATGTACGAGATCATGGGAGGAAACAGAAGCGGAACAGCCACTAGTCTGGGGGCAGAAGTGGCGGGCTGGGGGCTGGAAAAGAAGTGGAAGAGGGCAGTGATGGAGGAGGGGCGGCATCCCACTCGGAACACCCAGCACACGGGGCCTGGGCAGGGGCTCACATCTTCTGCAGGGAACAGTGAGTGGGGTGGCTGGGGGATGACAGCGGCTGGAGCTCACAGCAGGCAAGCCAGATCTCGGAGCGCCTTGCACGCCGAGATGGGAGTGCCATCTGGAACCTCTTGAGCTGCCGTGATTAGGAGCAGATAAAATGCACGTTCCTATCAGCACCTACCCGTCCACTAGCCCAGGAGGTGCTCACCAAGCCCCATCACTCAAATCGCAGAGGAGGAGCTCGCGTTACAGATGACCCGCAGGAGCTTCCAGCCTGCCTGGTCACACACTGCTGCGCTCCTAAACACTGCCATCGCCATGGGACATCGCCTTGCTTTTAGACTTGTTTCCTTACGAAAAGCTAAGCCAGCACAGCAACATAGATGCCACTGAACTGTCTGCCAGAAAATGGTAAAAGGGTAAGCTTTGTTCCGTATATTTTGCTATCTTAAAAAAGCCAAACCGTGGGGAGAACAAGAGGAGGCAGCGGCAACAGGGCCCTGGCAGCCGAAAGGGGAGGCCCGAGGAAGCGCCGGGCAGCCAGCAAGGAGGGCGCTTGCGGCCACCATCCTCCCCACCCGGGAAGGCCCACCCGAGGGGTGGGATTCCGCAGCGGAGAGGATCAGCTGCCTGAGAAGAGCTCCTTGTGACTGGGTGGCTGCCACCTAACGCGCCGCAGAAATTTGGAGATGCATTTTCTGGAAAACAAATCAGGAGGCAGAGTGCCAGCTAGAGGATCTGAGCAGAGACGGAAGAACAAACAGCACCGGCCCCGGTGAGTGCACCAGAGGGCCTGGGCCAGTCAGGGCTGACTGAGTTCCTTACGTCAGCTGAGAGGGTGCCTGTGCCTGGAGTGACCCCGGAGTCCTACAAGAGAACATTCTATGTTTCTAGGAAGAAAACCGCTCACTTTCACAGGCTAAGCGGTTCCAAACGGCTTCAGACTTTGCAAGAACACTGATGGCTGGACAGTAAAGGAGCAATGACTTCAAAATCCCAAAGAAAAATGATTTCCTATTAGAATCCCATATCCAACCCAGTAATCGAGATGGAAAACGAAAACATTTCCAGGTCAACAAGTTCTCAAACACTTTACTGCCTGTGCCCCCTTTGCTCAGCAGCCCAGTGGGGTTCGCTTTCTACCTGATAAAGAAACAAGCCAAGAAAGAGAAAAACCTAAGGTGTCCAGAAGGGCAAAAAACAAACATGAGCGTAAGGGCTAAGGAAATTTCCACAAAACCGGAAAGGAGGCATTCTCAGGATGACGCTAGGTGCCAGCCCTGGAGGGAGAAGCCAGTGACGGCACAGCTGCAGAGGTGTCAACAACACAGAACATGGTAGCCTTTGTCCACCATACTGTGACCAAAAGGTCCCAGGAAAAGGAAACGAGGCCTGAACTCCCACCCAAAGAAGGAGAAAAGCAAAGGCCGCCTCAGTGACAGCTGCGTGTGGCATGCCCACAGACAACACCGTCCAGGCCACACATACTCTAGGCTGTGGGGTGGTGCTGGGTGCAGGTCAGGGGTGTCAAGCCAGCTCTGAAAGGTGTTTTCACGGGCTTGTCATGGTAGCCTTCCTCCATTTTCCAGATGTCATTCAACTGCCTTTTCATTTGAAACATTTAACAAAACGTTTGCAGTTATTTTTATCTTGGATCTTCTGCACATAATGTCTAATACATTATTATACCTAATATGTTAGACATTATATAAGGTATAATATAATCTCCTCGGCTTTTGAGATTTTCTATGATGTGCGGAAAGTTACAGATGCATAAGTAATAAAGGTGACTTCCATCACAAGCATACACTACTCGTAAAGATCTTTTATTCTGTCAAAGACTGAACAATCTACTGACTTATGTAGAGTAAGAGTGAGCAAAATAAAGGCTTCAAACTGATGACGAGAGAGTGCTGGGTGACGTCAGGAACTACGCCAAAAAGGAAGCAATGAACTTGTCATGGAGCAGGTTCCTGAAGTCTCTCCTTAACAAAAATAACAGACATTTCAGAGTGTACCTTGTTATTTCTAGGATGCAAATCACACTGAAGTTGGGCATTTCTGCCAGCGGAAGATCGAATATTCCAACACGCAGGAAGCAGATGCATTCCCTAGCCCCTGGCTTGCCTAAGTCAGTTCTTTGCTAGTCCTACTTTCACTGCAGATGTCAGAAATGTGACGGGACAAAGCATCCAACGTACTAACAGTGTCCAAGGCACACGCTGTCCTGGCACAGATACCTGCTGCTAAAGCAGGGTGACATGTGGCCAAAGCTTACAGACATGGGTTCGTCACACCGCCCCATTTTATACAGGCATTTGGGCACCTCGCGTTATCTGAATCATCTGACAGTGAAACATTTTCATGGAAACAAAACAAATAAGTTCTTCCAAAATTATGACTTGGGGGCTAGAAATGCTTGCTACGGTTTTAAACAAAACATTCGCTGGCCTGGAAACCTTATAAGAGGCAAGGAACAGTAGAGCCGAGACCACCTGGATAATCTCCATAGCTTGTTCTTGATTTCCCATCCTCTCCCACTCATTCTGCAAAGCTACGTGATCTCCTGATGAAACATCCTTATAAAGCTCTGGAACAGAATAAATTAGAGCCCAGAGCAAATCAATTTTTGTATTTATTCAGGAAAGCAGCTCATTATCCATTATTTAAATACTTCCCAAATCCAATTAGGCAGAAAGTCAAACTTGCATGAAAAGCTAACAATGTTTCATTCAGCTTTCTATTTTCCTTGAAGACACACAGGCATAACTACTTTTATGTTTATAGTAATCGCTTCATTAAATTAAACACAGCAGCTTAGTATTAACAGCCCCTTCACTTCAGTGCCACAAGTGGTGGAATGTCTCCTACTGGTTCTGTGGTAAAACACACCATTCGTTTCCAAGCTCTATGACAAACGACGGAGACAGAGCTCCCCGTTAGCAGTGGGGGTCTGACAGGAAGGGCGATGCACTCACCTCTCTATCCTGATTTAACAAATGGCTCTAAGGGCTCCCAAGTGCAAAGAAGCCTTATCTCTACCACACTATGCTTCATTCTGTGGAACGCAAGTGTTTCTGAAAGGAAGTATGTTTAAACAAAGTCAAAATCTGACCTCGTACTTTCTAAATCACTTGGTACAAAATGAAAGTTACTAAAATTGCTGTTACTACTGTCTGGGCACTTGGGCCACAGAGCTCCCCCACAGGACAGCACCCAAACTGTTACTGACACATGGATTCAGTGCAGAGAGGGTTCGGTGTGTGATGGTCCCACCAGTAATCTGTTCCAAGGAAGAATACTCCAGTGGTACTTTCTATTTGCCAGAATTGAGGTTAACTCCGAAGTCCCTCAGCACCTTCAGAATCTTCTCGGCAACTCTCACAACCTTCTCTGTTTTACAAATAGTTGCCTAATTTGACTATTCAAAGTGTCACGCAGTACTTGGTGGAAGCTGGCTCTCAGAACTGGCCAGAGCTGGACTGAAGGGAAATGCAGAAGTACAATCAAGGCAGTAATTTAAAATGCAGTAAGTGAGCACACAGGGTGTACATTTCCTGGAACTCAAAAGTACAGAGAAGGGGGAGGGGTGGCTAGCTAACCTTCCAAGCAATGTATGTTGAACAACTTATTCATCACAAATCTCATTATCAATGAGAACATAAAATTTCTGTGTAGCAAGTATATTCCAATAAATACACAGAGCATCACTTCAGAGTTGTGAAATGTCTTTCTAGTCAAATGTCTTTCAGTGCTGTAGTCTTTATATGTGGAAGTTAACAACTATAATTTACTATAAAAAACCTTAGAAAAATATTTTTAGTTCTACATTACATAGTTAATATGTAAGAATTGTAACAATCCATATTATTAAGCTTTAAGACAAACTACAATGCTTAGACTAGAAAAACAGGCTAAAGTTTAGCTCAGCAATATCAAGCTTGCTTTGGTTTAAATTTTAAAATGATTATGTACAGAATAAAAAAAAAAGATGCCAAAAATGAAACCAAGTGCCTAAGGACCTACACAGCCACTGAAAGAGACAGAGGAGGGAGGAAGGAACTGAACTGGCTAGCACTGAAAAGGCACCAGGATACACAATCATCCTCCCTGCCGGAGCCTGAGCATCCGGTCATCTTGTACACTGGCTGGGGCCTGGCTGGGGCAGGGTAAAGATAATGGAGTTACAAATCACTAACAGCACAATTATGAACATGTGGCAAACAACACAGAAAAAAGCATAATCAATTTGCTTCGCAAATTCCCCACAAATGAGAGGGCAGGGGCAGAGGGGAGGGCGGGCGGCCGCCTCAGGAAGATGGCAGGGGACATCTGGTCAAAGGAGGGCCTGCCTTGTGCTTTCATGTGAACGCTGCTGGGAACACACAGGAGTCCGAGTGAGACACAGAGGAAAGCAGTCAGTGCACATCACAGAACGGAGCAACTGTAAAGGAAACCCAAGTGGCTTGCAATCTCAAGCCCAAAATACAAGAGCCGTGAAGCTGAAAAAGCTGTTGCACCCCAAGAGAAAAAGGAAACCATTCCCCATGAAATGCACTGAACAGTCTGTCAGGCACTTTTTTTTTTTTAAGATTTATTTTATTTATTCATACAGAACTGGGGTGCAGGCTAGAGATGCGGAGGGTGAGAGGATTCACCAGACACAGAGTGGGGTACA